TAATAGCTCGACTTTTCCGCCGTTTCTCATTGATAGTAATGCCGAATTTTGTTTCAATCAAAGCTTTGTCAATCAAATCGTAGTCGGATTCCAATATCCGATCAAATTGCACTGCCACAGGTAGTAAACCCTAAAAATATTTTTAATGGTATAATGAATACATATAGTATGTATACAAACAGGTGAATATTCATAAATCGAACAAATTGTTATAACATTTGTATGTATTAATAGCCAAGAAGAATTCTAACAAAACTCACGATGATATATTTTCGTGCAATCAAAATGCCTGCAATCGGACCAACAATAAATAATTCAAAACCATTTTCAACAGTATTGGACTGAATAATATGTGTTGAAGTTTGTTGAGCCATCCATTGGATTTCCTCCTTTTTAGTCACATCACGTAGTAATAATTCAAGACAATTATGTGCACTGATAACTGTATGACAAAGCAGTCCATAATCATTCTGCAACGACTTTTTTTTTTTTCTTTTTCAGTTAGTATGTCAAGTTTGTCTAGCAATTTTCCTAGATTAATCTCATAAGATGAGTTAAATTCTTGAAATAAGCACCAATAAGATAATTAAATATACATTAGCGAACAAAGGAATTTCATCGAGTGCAATCTTAGCTTAGAATGTGAAGAAAAAGAATGTATGTATGAATGAATGAATATTTCAAACAGAAGATATAAGGAAAAAAAATAATGCAAAAATGAACCTTTAATTGATACATATTAGCAAGAATCATAACTGCTTTAACCATTTCCACTTCGTTTTGTTCGATTCCTTTCAAAATACATTTCATTTTACCATTTCGTTCCTCACGTAAACTAACAAAAATATCCGAATGCCCAATATTTCTTTGTAATTCTTGGAAAGAATAACGGCATGTATTCGGTAATTCGCATATTATACATAATGGTGATAATTTCTGAAAAGAAAAACAGAATATCAATGAACTGTTGTTATAGCATTACCAACAACAATAATAATAGCAATATCTGCATCTATTCAATCAATATGATAAATCAAAGGGGATAATTATTAACATGATAATCGGCAAATAAACCAGACGAAGTGATTTAACATATGAAATTATAAGTTTGATCAGTAAAATCTGTTCAAATCTATAAATAATTACGCTACATAGCAAATACAATATGTAATAAATAGCTGTTGGAAGATCCTGATGATTTAAAAGTTATATCAGACAAAATGGTAACTTACTCGTAGTCGTTGTCGTGCCTTTTCTACTTGCTGAACTGTTCCAGATATTGATACCTGATCAGAACTATTTTCAGCTCCTTATTAATTTATAATATAGCAATGTCCTTTTAACTAGGAAAGGAAAAACGGTGAATGATATGAATGATAATAATCCCTGTACATCTTAAACAATTTCAAAATCTTTTTTAACTCTCTTTAAAAAAAAGGAAAAAGAAAGGAGCAGAAGAATAATATGAAGGTTGTTGACATGATAATAACCTTTATTTGAAGTAATTTAAAATCTCAAAGCAGGAAGTCACAGAAAACGAAATGTACTGGTCAAAGCCAGTACATTTGAAATGGACTGATTAAATGACATTTGGTTAAGTTTTCAGGTACCAATGTGTTCTGTGCTTTTGCTGTAAACAATATTCTCATTAAACTTTTTTTATTTTTTTGTTGTAAACTCTGAGCATAAAGATTAGATTAAACAAAGTGAACTCAATAATCATAATACCTGATTGTTCTTTTCCATATCATGAATTCTATTTGAATCTGGGAAATGAATGTGACACATTGTATCACGCATAACATCTTGAGTATTTTTACCCTTTCGTCCTATTATTTTCGAGTGATCACAGTGCGGTATTTCGATCCTCAGTGATATTTTATCACGCTGCAAAATAACTTTCGCAAACAAAGAATAAGTAATAGAAACTTGAGAGTAAAAAAATGAAGTTAAAAGTGGAAAAATTGAAGTAATCCAAATAGGTAACCTTTATTCTGAGTGTAGATGCAATCAGTTGACGGGCACAGTTAACTTGCTCAATTGTACCAAACATTTTGACGTAAGGATCTGGAAAATATCGCACTTGTTTGTTTTGTAAATTATAATTTGAAAGATGAGAAATTACGAGCGAGCTACTAACTTTTCTATTTTCATCTGTCTTCTCCTAAAAATTGAAGATATTCTAGAATTTGAAAAGATTCATTACCTTTTTTTGTCTTTGCACCAATTTTCAAACGACTTGGCCAAGAGATAACAGCACCAGAGAGCTCAGTAACCTGAAAAAAGGCATATAAATGCAGTAATTTAGCCTAACCATATCCGAATCATTGATCAGATTGGAACGGAAACTCATCAGAAGGATTTTTTCTTTTTTTGTTCAAGATAAATTTAGTATAAATGCTGCAAAAACAAATGTACTTTTTGAAAGAATTCTTCTGCTGACGGCAGGAATTTCTCGGACCCGTATAAAGGCTCACCTGGAATACATAATCTTGATTTTAATTAACATTCAAAATTGTTGATATAAATCCTTACATTCTTTTCACGGTATTCATTTTACAGTAATATACCACTAGAAGGGTCCTGCCTTTACTGAGGATTTTGATTATCTAGAGATTTTTAGAAAATGAAACAAAACTTATTTTTCCAAAATTGAGGTTGTTTAAGTCTCAAAGGTCTTCTTTGCCTACATTTTGAAAGTAAAGATGCGAAGTTCCAGGCAAACCCGTGATCATCGATTCGAGTCGTTTACGATCAACTTGTATTTGTTCTTCCACTTGGTTATTCGAATTTTTGTCTTGGGTCTTTAATCGCGTACCTTTCGAGATCTCTTCGACTGCATTATGTGCCCGTTCTTCTTCACTCATTTATATTCAGAAATCTAAATAATCATATTTTAAAATAACTGCAAAATGTTTGGCAAAAAAAAAACAAAAGGAATGATCCACCAGAATTTTAATACTTTGGTTTTAAAAGATAAAAGTAATGTAAATCTCGAATAATTCCACAAATGAGTCCAGAAACGGAACTATCTTAAATGCCACTTTCAACAGCATGATGCCGAAAAATATCATTTTACATTTATGATTCTCATTTAGAAATTGTCAACTTAAAATGGTGCAATAGTAATAATTGACAGTAGGAGAGAGAGAGAGGGAGAGAGAGAGAGAGAGAGACAAATAACTAGTTTCGGACGTACTTACGCACTTGACGTACGCACCACAAATCGCGAAAAGTGAACTGAAAAGGAGCGTGTATGGTAACGATTTGGAACGGAAATAAGGTAAGATATATGGGTATAAAGGTAGTTGTTGTACAATAAAGCAGTACAGTAGATTGCAGCATTTTTTTTTTTTTAGAAATGTGCTTGATTGAAACAAAGTTGAAACTGTCTGATAGATTTGGGAATCATTCAGTAAATCACTTCATAATACGACACGCCTACAATTTAAATAGATATTAATAGAAGAAAAAAAATGTGCTAGAAAGTGATGGCATCTTTTGCCATAAGCATCACAATACATTACATCATTTACATGATGTCAACATTGTATTCAAATGTTAGCTTAAAGATGATTTGTATTATTTATATTGATGGGACAAGAAGGACTTAAAGAATTGAAAGTTTCTGCTTCAAAGCGCTTCTGTCACCTTTTTCTTGAGGAAAATGGGATTAGAAGAAGTGGAATAAGTAGCTGGTAAAAGATAAAAGAGAATAGGAAAGATATGGAAGAGGGGAATGAATGATTCTCGAGCAAAATAACTGAGATGGATATTAGAAGGGGCGCGGTGTGTATTGAAAGGTATAGGGAAGAGCAGAAAGAGGATGGAAAGGGGAACTGTTGAGTGGGAAAGAGGATGCCAACCGGTTGTCTCACCTTTTTCTGAAATTTTGATGTCGTGTGTTTTCGCGCAACTCGCGAAGAACTCGGTTGTAGACGCCTTGAAAAGGCATGATAGGTGGGTCGTCTAAATCACTCCTAATGTTAAATGTTAATTAATGAGTTGCTTTCTATCAAATCAGTACTCTCTTTTTAACAGTTACTTTTTAATCAGCAACTTGCACATGCATGGTGCTGCTAATGTTCGGAAATATTTTTGGAATTTTAGAATGAGGTAACATGCAATGATTGGAGGTCCACAAAAACAATTTGACTCTCCTTTCAAGCCAAAAAAAAAAAATCTTTTCAAAATTTTGATCATACAAAGATAGACTATCTATCTAATTCAACACCTGAAATTAAAAATTGAAGTCAATTCAGTGAGATGGAGTGACGGTTGTAATAACACAAGTTTTTTAAGCACAATCAAGCCGAGGAAATCGGGGAGTTTGTTCGATTAAACTCTTAATGGTTCTTTTCTAGGTGTATTCTCGAACAAAACTGAGATTGAAGATTATATTTGGGATTACGGATTACTATAGAAATTTTTCAAACTTTTGACTTTAACCTGTCTTTAATTCCTCAAATCTATCGGCTTTATGATTTTTGCTCCTTTACCCCGAACTTCAAAAATGGAGGACTACTGTGTTCCCTTTTGTTATTCTCAAGTATCCCATTTCTCTCCCAATCTTTTTTATTTTCTGCTCCTGAATACTGTTTTAGCAAACCAAAGACCAGAGACTTTTGTTTCTATTTTTTGGTTAATAAATCCCTCTCTTCCACAGAATCCAACCTGATTAAATTATCAAGTCATACCAAGACACAAACTTCAACTAAACTCACAGGATACTGCCACGATAACTGATGAAAATGAAGTGGTCGAAAACATTCTGGCCAGCAACTGAATCGAACACAACCATTTGATGATGTTTGGCATAGTCATCCAAGAGTTTTACGACTCAATAAACCTTCCTTGTAAGGTCTACTTAAAGTTTGCAGACGAGTCGTTATCGTTGTACAACTTAAATATATAGAAGAAATATTCGAATTTTGAGATGAGCACATTCTTTTTCTCTCTCTTGAAAACAAATTACCCTGCGACATTTCTCCAACAAATGCTCATTGTATTCTTCTTTCTTCTTTCTCTATCATGATATTTTCATGATAAAAGAGTGTCAGTAAATTGCCATTTAAAACGCTGCATTTATTAATGAGCCATTCTGATACCTTTGTCCCATACAAACTGCTTAGTGAAACAGATGATGCAGAAGGAGTCAGCTACAATGTGACACTTCTATCTCATCGCCATTTCTTTTCTCGAAAAGTATCTTGTTCTGTTCGGAAAAGAAAAGAAAAAAAAAAAAAAACATATTTTACCTTTTCAGTACGATACTTTTCTCTTATTTCAAGTTCAGCTTTTCGAACTTCTCTCTTATTTAATTGATTGCTACGATTAGTTAAGTCATTTGTGAGATGGTGTCGTAATTGGAAAAAGATTCGAAACGTCAGGTTTTATTTGTAATTACTAAACTTCCGGCATCTCCTCTTATCTTCGCTTTTGTTTTATTACTACAAACTGTACTGCAAAGTCAATCAATTCAGATTCTGTGTAAAAAAGTATAGTACAACTGAAAGGATCAAACAAAGTTCATTTAAGGATTGAAAGGAGGTGATGTCTTCTGTTAATATATTTAGCAACTTTGTGCTACCCATTGGCCAAAGTTTTTAACTTGCAAAAGATGAAGGAAAAACTGATGGATCTTTTAAAATATAAATTGTACAAATCAATTAAAAGTATCGCCTAACTTTAAATAATTATTTGTACAAAAATAGTAGGTCCTTGTTGTTAATGAGCAAACTTCCATCCCTAGAATAAGTTTCTGTCTGACCCCTAACATACAAGATGACATGCCTAAGACAGTAAATCTTACATACTAACCTTTGCAATATTTCAAAATTTATTACCTCTTGATGCTATTGAGAAATTTGCGTTGAAGAAATGTTTCAAAAATTTACGCTTTACAAAATATTTCAAATTAATTATTCATTGCGCAAATGGTTTCATTCATAGCATTTAATTAAGCAATAAGACTAGTACCTTATTTTTAAATATCATAAAAATAAAGATGTTTTGATGCGGTTGAAATTCAGTACACAATGTACTTTACAATTAACAATTGATGGATTAATTACTGGTCTGGATGAATTTTCTGTTGCATTCTGATTTTTTTCATCTCGTACACTGTATGATAATTCCATAATTTTCCAAAAAATTGTTTTTCCATTCGAAAACACTAAAAGATGAAAAATTATTACAAAAATAAAATGAAAATTTAAAAAAGAAATAGCGCTTGCAAAAGTTTCTCATCAATCGAACATTTACAGAATCCAATCAGTTTCTTCTTCCGATTTATCAAAATGACTACATCTTTTCAGTATTTTCCTTGTTTTGTTACTATCAGAAATGGTTGATAACTGAAGAAAGAAACAATACACTTAAAGTATCAGTGACAATTGGTCAATTCATATTGATAATGTTATTTATCACGAGAAGAGATAGAAAGAGTAACATACTGTAAGCATAACTTTCTTTGCAAAGTAATGTCAGAGGAAAAAAAAATCCGAAAGGAATTTTAAGGTGGGAGAAGTTTCTTTCTTCACGAAGATTTTGTGTTCCACTTTTTGTCAAAATAGCAAAAATACGAATTGTTTTTATAACACACATAAAACTATCATTCATGCTTATCACAAATATCAAAATCTCAATAACTTTTTTTTTAACAAATTGAAATTCACTTTAAAAATTATATTGAATCTTTTATAGGTGACGGTTCCCACTATCAAGTGTGACCTGGATTGAACTTTCAGATACATATTTTTTTTTAGGAACCATCATTACTGAGAACGATCAAAACAAAAGAACCCATAATTCTCATTTAGGAAGATAGCGAACTCACCAGCTATATTAGTTGTCGTGTTGATCGATGACTGATAACAATCGCTATATTGCACACATTTTTCGTTACCGATAATAGGTAATACTCTCAATAGCTCGTTCCTCAATCTTCGGTATACATTGTCCACTCTTGATACTGGTCATAGCTATCATTATCAAAGACATCATTTTCTCTGAGATTTATTAAATAAATAATTTTGGTACGTTGAAGTAATCAAATCCTCTAAATTGAGATTATAAAATGTTTCGGAATTCCATAATGAGCATGAATCAAGAATGCTTATTGCTATTTATTGCGTAGTCAGAAAGAATTGTTAGTATTGGCTTATCAATATCAGTAATAACAATCATTAATAACAGTAAAAGACATTCCATTAACATTTTCATAAATTCATTAAAAAATTTTCAACACTTCTGTATCATTTTATCAATATAAAGAAAAAAACATATAATTATTGAAATTTGAAAGTTTATGTAGTTTCGTCTATTACATAAAAGTTTCGTGTTTTTTTTATTTTTTTACTAATAACTAAGAAAATCTTACTCATTGATGTTGTTTTCAGAAGATGCAGAAAAAAAATGCTACCACCAATCCTTTTTTTTATTTTTTATTTATTTTTATTTTTATTTTTTTTTATGAAACCAATTCTTGAAATCTTCCAGTTGGTCAGTTATCCATTAAAAAAGAAACTTAACATTTTTCAAAAAATTAATCATACTTTTTTGATACTTTTGAAAAGATTAAATTTTAAAAAATATCTGCAGTAGACTAACAACTTCAGAAAATCTTGCGCAAAATGCTGCTAAGATGATTTATTTTGCGTATAACAAAATACTAAAATAATTGCCGATTTATAATTGTCAGTTGTCATTTGTCTCTTTTTGCGTCATTCGAAATTAACTGCAATGAATACCAAATGATCCAACTGTACTTCCTTTGATGATATTAAGCGTTCTTCGTAAATTTATTTGCTCAGTTATTTCTTTCTTAAAGTGCACGATTACAATTTTGCAATACTTGCATCATCAAATGAACTTAGCTCTTAATATGTCACTTCGTCGGAGCAAACAATTTCGTTGTAAATGACTGCCCTTACATGTAATATTAGTATCAAATTCATGAAAAAAAAAAAATCATCCAAAAAAGAAAAAAAATCTTAATATCATTTAACTTTTAATCTTTGGTCTATAAAAACGAGTTCTGTCGATCCTCTATGAAATCAACAATTTTTAAATGTTTTGAAATAAATCATCTAATCAAAATGCTATAGTGATCCTACTTGTTGAAACTTGAAAAAGCACGGCAAAATGCAATTAACTGCTTGGCTTTTTATTTCTTTGATACCTGTATATTGTTTGCCACATGAGCAAGTCCTTACCTCAACACTAGTCATTATTGTTGTTCGATTAAATTCAGATTTTACCTGTATGATTAATTACTCTTAATTTTATTTGAAAACTTTTGAAATGTGATCAAGAAATTTAAGAATTTTCAGTACCATCAACTTTTCAGTGTCATTAAAAACTTGTTGCATGGATAATTACACATGTAAAAAAATATTTTACTTTCAACCTTATCTTAAATTATTTGAGCTACAGTATGCTTAATTCCTAAGCATAATAATAAACTTAATCGAGCAATTCCAAGCAGTGTCTCATTAGCCTGATGACTTAAAGAAGAAATTCGACAGTTGTTATCGTAAATTATTCCCTCAAAAATTGCAAAGCCATATCGTTTTGTAAAATGATAAGGAGTTCCATTGGATACTCAAGTGATTATTGGTCCCTTCATTTCTCATGCAATCGTTATACTAAAGTTAATTAATTTTTATATCTTTAAAAGTTGTATAAGAACCAAACGAAAATATAAGTATTTCAAATATGATGATTAAAATGATTTGCTTTATAAAATGAAAAGCGATAATTGCAGGACAAAAAAGCTGATTGAAAGAATGATAATAAAGGTTGTAATCGTTGTATTAATCATGAATCAGAAGTGAAAAAGCAATATAATTACTAGAACAATCTTTTACTCGATTTAGAACTTAGGTAAGAAATAACTGAAACAAAGGTTCGGAGGATCTGCTATTGCACTTTTTTTTTTTTTTTTTTTTTTCTTTTTATTTGTTCGCGTT